CATCCGTATCCAAAGTTATAGCCAAAATACCAAAACGTGTTCTATATTGACCACAATTAGGAAATGTCGTCGATTACTTTCCATTCTTACGTCGATCCGCCAACTCATGGTACGTTAGCGCCATCAACGAGTTATCTGACAACTCAACTTCGTCTGACTCGGACCCTCCTGCATCAACATGCAATTTTGAACAGTAGATCTCAACTCATGAGCCATTCGATCACCCACCAAAGGGTGCACTAAGTCGAAATTTCTTGAAGCGAGCTGGCTTGCGCTAGTGCTTTGCACCATCCAACGCCCCTGGTAAAAACTAATAGCTTGTTTGAGTTTCATTTTTTGTTCAAAATGTATTTTGGAATAGTATTTTGATGAAAAATTGTGGTTAAAAAATAAGAATTTTTTTAATTTGCGCGTGATATAAAAAATATGTGAATTAAAATTAAAGAGAGAAAATTACATTTTTAAAATATTGTGCAACAAACGGAGGCTAAATAGCCTCTTCCCCCAACCCCCTATCTAACCTCTCTTAACCACTCTCGATTTCTGCTCCCAAACCCACGCATAGATCACTGACGCACGTCACTCCTCCAAGCCACGTCCCCTTCCCCCAAATCAGCCACCCTAATCTGATTCACTGGTCCATAAAGACACTAATCCAACCCACATCGGTAAATATTTACCGGGTTATATGTGTTGTTAGAGGCGAAGGTTGTTGTTTTGGTGATTATAATTTGTGGGTTTTGGTTTATGAGTTTAATGCAGATACAACTGAGAAAGTAGGAGTGGCCGAGTGGGCACGAACGTAAATCCCTTATTTCATGTTGTGGAACTAGCATGCACCGCGTAACTCACGAGGAATTATTATCATATATTTCGTTAATTTAGATAGTCCCGAAACAATTACATTTGAGATGTCGAATCAGGTGGTGAAGTTGAAGCGGGGTACGGTTTCGCCATGCATGACATGTCCTCTTTGCCACAAGATCTTCCGTGATGCCACCACTATTATCGAATGCCTCCATACGTGTGAGTGTGCTTTTTTGTTGAGTAATTTTTTGGAATTCTGTTGTTTGATACCCTTTGAGAGTTCATCCCTCAAATTCTGACCTACTATGAGGTCTGGGTGTTTTTTGTGTTTTGGCATCTGGGTTCGTGTTGGCGTGGATTGCTTGTTAAGGATCTGTCTACTTCATAGGTGCCTATGGGTTTTCTTCAATTTTTCTATTCCATACGTTTTTTGTATTATCTGGTGTAGAGTCTTGGATTTTATAGACGCTCATGGGAAGAT